CTCAGTGACGCTCCCACAGATGTTCTGGGAAGCCAGGCTGTGATTCCCACAGTCCATCCTCGACCCTCCTGCCTCCCACATACAGCAGGCCTCCCTGCACAGAGGACACAGAGTGGAGGCCCGGCCACCATCAGAGCAAAGCGTGTCCTGTTCTAGTCACTCATCCACTCACTCCCCACAACGCCAGCCCTTCCCCACTCCCCATGTTTTCCTCCACATGGGGGTAGGGGGTGGCTGAGAGTCTCTTAACAGGAAAAGCATAACTGAACCAAGGAAGCTGGGGTCAGGGAGGGGGCCTACCCAGTCCTTCAGGAGCTCCCAGGAGGGGAGATAAGGCAGACAACAAAAAGTAGCTCCAAGATAAGGCAGAGGGTGATAAGAGTCTCACAGAGGAAGATAAAATCAGTGAGAGTTCAGAGGAGAGAGCTGGGGCCTGGGTGTAGGGAGGGTCCCAGGAAGGGGGCAATTTGCTGCCACCCCCCCCACACACAAAATGCCCAAGTCCATGGTCTGCACTGTCAGGCCTGGGTGGGGTCCAGGAGAAAACAGGTAGTGGACCAAGAGGTCTTCAGTCTCCCCAGACGAACCCTGGCTCTGGAGGGCAGAGTCCTCAGGTCCCAGCCTTTGGAGAGTACGAAGAGGTATCTAGAATTCTGTTGCAGGGCCAGAAAGTCAGAGCAAAGGGGACAGAGCTGGAGGACTTGCCTGAAGATGACATTTGTGTAGCAACACACTGTTTACGCAGAAGGTCCAACTGGGGCTTCTTGGGGTGGGGGAGAATCAAAGCATATTCTGGGCAGGACCTGAAGCTTTCCTCTCCCTCACTCACCCACCAGCCCTGCCCCCGATCAGCAAGGCACGGAGGGAGGAGGAGGAAGCTGCGGTCCTCGGTCATAACAGGAAGGGGCACTCAGGATGGAGATGGGGTGGATTTGTTCCAGCCAGGGGGCACCTGGCACACCCTTTCTTAAGTGCCAGGGCCCCTCCCTCAGGGCCCCAGGCCTCACTGAGCCTACACACACACACACACACACACACACACACACACACACACACACACACACACACACACATCCGGAGCTGGTGGAGAGCCAGCTTGGGGCTAGACCGTGGGCTTTGCCCCTTACTTCCTCCAGGCCCTGCCCGCCCTTTCCTTAAGAGCTCGGGGTCGCTGTGGTAAAGGCCGGGCCGGCCAGTGCACACCTGCCCCTTGACCGCGGTGACACTTGTCCCTGGGGGAGGGGAGTCCTCTCTGCCCAGGCCGCGCCGACGGAAATTAGCACCCGGGCCCGAACCCTGAGGCCCAGGCGTGTCACCAGCCCGGGACCCGGCTCATGCGCGCTCCTGAGACGGGGGTCCCCGCGACGCCACACCCTCCTCGCGCCGGGGGCCGGTCGGGGCCCCGCTTCCCGGCCCC